TATATGCATAAACACCTCCCTCCCAATACACATGACACATTCAATCCACATTAGATAGGATGGATCGATGTATGTACAAAGCATACGTCATATACATACAAACACATACACATACACACACACACATGCATATATCTTGACATACCTATGCATGCATAGACATACATCTATCATACAAAGAGGCATACACAAACAAACACTCACCTAAAATGCGTTTGCATACACATACACTCACATGCATATCGCTGACATACAGAAATAAAGCTTCTTCACGAAGTGCGGCATTAACTGCCGTCAGTTATATCTTTGAAAGAATCGGAAGATGAATCGATAGCGAACAGGAAAAAAAAAAGCACAAAAAAGCACTCTATTCTAGCAGCCATTCCTTCCCACTTTCACACAATGTTCACATAAACTTTCTTAACAATCCAATGATACCGGAAATGAACAACGGAAATTATTTGTTTCCGGATATGATTGTAACAAATAAAGGGATTTACATTAATCGTTTATGATTTATAAAATTATTGCATAAAATTAATAATGTAATGTTAAATATTATTTGCAAAAATATTCTTTCCGATGAAATTCATCCATTTTTTTTTCCTATCCCTATTTTTCAACTGCTTGTCAGTACTCTCTAATCCGCTCATACACTTTTCATCATACTGTAAACGCATTTAAAAAGAATTGAATGAGTCAACCAGGAAGATCGTAATGTTACGATTTTAGTTGATATGAATTAAATATGTCATATAATAGTGATAGCACATAAAATAAAAAAAAAATCTCTTTTTTTTTGCAATTTGCAAATCTAGTAAACATAAGTTTTAAGTAAGAAATACTTCACTATCATTTATGATGCAAGTGAAATTACAAATTAAACGTATACATACACACGTTCATATATACTTGCAAATACGCACACACGCATACGTGAGCGTAGGCAAACGCGTATACGTATAAACACATACACACACAGACGCAAACACGTAAATATGCACATACGCATAAACTCACACACATATACGCGCATAGTTGTATACATACACACACACGTAAACAGACGTGCGCAAACGCATACACGCAGAGACGCATACGCGCGTACATGTCTGTACATGCATAAACACATGGATTCATACACGCAAACACGCATACATACAATTCATACACGCGTACAAGCACAGACTTATACACGCGTGCACACATACACGCATACACGCATGCATGCATACACGCATAAATGCATCGAGACACACATGCATAGACGCATGCACGCATATGTAAAGGTGTGTAAAATTTACACGTATACAAAGTATCGGAAGCATGACCGAGAGAAACAATAAACCACCCCGATATATTCAGGGGACGAAAACAATACCACTCTCGGGGATTTTCTAGGGACGAGTCTGTTTTTTTCGAGAAGGATGGCTCGTCCTCATAATTTAATACATAATTTGTGGAAGGATTAAATTGATTGGGTGGGTGAGTAGGGGTAAATGAGTGTTTAAATAAACAATTTAAAAGATGGAATGCGTTAAGGCATAATTAAGTAAAGTGATTCAATGAAATTAAATGAGAAGATAAAGCTTTAGTAGAATAGATGATGGAAATAGCTAATAGAGATTTACTTTATTCACATGAAATGAAATATTTGAATTTAAATGAAGTGAAATCAATAGTGTTAGGATCGAGTGGAAAGATTCGGATGAAAATATTCAGTAACTTCGCATCATACAATTCAAATTTTGGCGAAAATTTACCGAAATATGATTTATATTCCAATTTAATTTTCCATCAACCAATATAAAGCTGCTTACTTGTTTGAGATTTATCGTTGATTGTTAGATCATTTCGATTCTATTTGAATTCATTCAGGTTTGAAAATTATGGATCAATCAATGTATGGAGTTATTTGATTAAAATGTATTTAAATTTTCAAGTACGAGACTCATATATGATACAGTTAGATCCAAATTCATTTTAACTTTTTTTTCACGTTGAGATATATTTTATTTCTGAAGCAGATTTTTAATTTTAATTGCAAGTTTTGTTTCAGTTGGAAGAACGAATGACTAAGTTTAGACGCAGGGATTATTCACGCAATGTGTGAAATAATTGATGAATTTAAGGTTATAAGAAATGGAAGCAGAAAATGGCTACGAATCATTAGCGCTATATATGACAAAGAATACCGAGAAATCACGAGACTAACTGGTTAGTTAGAAAAATTAAAATAGTCCTTAGTATATGAATATCTTTGAGAAATACAATGAAATAGAAAAAGGAATGATTAAAAATATACCTTCTTATCTGATAGCTTACATGTTTATGTTTTTGATGATGACCAATGGGTTATATGTTCCATCATTTACTACTAAAAGTAGGGGAAAATATTTGAAAAAAAAAACAATGATAACAGTGATGATGATAACAGGAAATACAAATAACTGTATATGAAATTCCGTATAGCAAACAATAGATGAACGTTAGTTTCAGCTTTTCACAAACCATAAAAATAAATAATAAAGCCTGAAAATAACATATAAAATACTGGGAAAAAATTAAGTGAATAATTATTATGAAATTTAAACAATTTCGAATTGTTTAAAAAGGAAAACTTTAGAAAGTCTGACAGTAATCTAACTGATTTAAAACTCAAGAAAATTACAAAAAAACTTCCGACCTAAAATTGAAAATATTTTTTCGCAACTTTGAATTTGGAGCAATGAAATGGTTATAATAGTACTAAAAGTGAAAATAATCTCATTAGATGAGCAAAAAAGGCAAAAAAAAAACTACACAATAACACATGCATAAAAAAAAACTGTAGGTATAAGTTTTCGTAATTCTGGGATGATTTTTTTCTTTAAAATTTAAAATAAATCCATCTGTGAATATTGAACTTGAAATTAATCCTTAATATAGAATTATTTTTTAAATCATTTACATAAACAAGGTGGAAAAGAATGGCAGAATGATGATCCTGTTTATTTAGGTTTTTGTTAGCTAATCATAGGGAAATGTTAGAGTAAATGATTGAGAGCAGTTTTTACAATCATTTCCAACCTTGTGTCACCACATCATTTTTAATATCTGATGCTGATGATGATGATAACGGTGACACGAGAATTAATCCTTTTGGGCATTCCATTATCAAATTTCAATCAGCTTACAGATTTAATAACTTGATCCACCCTATCGTTCTTTTTCTTTCAATATTATTTCATAATTATTCATTGTGAGCTAACAATACATCACCATTCACCATCATTATTAACATCTCATCAAAACCATTATCACTCTCATTCTAATGGTAACAACATTGTCATCTATTGATAATATTGGCATAGATCTCTTGTTTCCTTTCCAAAATTCTCTGATAAACCTTCACTTCTGGTTCTAAATAATATAATTAGTATTATTTGCAGTTATCATTCTTACCCATTATTACCTCATTCCATTAACAATAGTTTTATCAATTAAATTATCATTCATCATTGGAAGAATTGAATTACTAACATTTTCTTCCCATTCTCTTTTCTTGCAAATTTTTGAGGTGTTTGTTTGGCTGAAAATCGAATTAACAGATCAAGAAGGAAAATGTAAGGGAAAGGGAGAAAGGAAAAATAAAAGGAAACGTTTGGGCATGAAATGAATGATTAGATGATAAGCTATCAAATTATTAGTAAATTAAATTGATAGGTAGATCCTAGCCAGCTAAATTGGTATATTTTTAGCTTAATTATAATTTTCAAAAGGACGAAACATACATATGTGTATATAATAGACAGCGAAATTTTATCCTAAGAGTTTATTAATAAGATGCTCATACATCTGACCCTTTCATTTGAATAATTATCGAAGTCATTAGATGTTCCTATCCGAAACTGACAAATAATCAATCATTGAAAAATATGTAACCGATATCAAAACCGGAAAGTAATTAACCAGTATCAAAATCGAAAACTAAATAATTAACATTGAAATTGAAAAATAAATAATCAGTATCAAAATTGAGAAATATCAATTTTGAAATGATTGTTGAGAAACTGGTCAAGAACGATTGCAATTTCGTCATACATAATTTTTTTTTCTCCCTCATAAACTATTAATTATCCATTTTATCATCACTGTCATCATCATCGAATGCTTACAGTGTAATCTTTTTTTTTTGGTGTCTTATCTCAGGAAAAAAATTTTTTTTTTAAACAAATTAATGCAATGATTGAAAATGAACAATAAGGAAAATGATTCAATCATCGGAAAATTTGTCTAATCAAATCGGAACTATTCGTTTTCTTTACTTTTATTTATTCTTTTCCCTATCGATCAATGTGTTTGAAAATCAGAAACCAAAAATTAAGAACAAGAAGAGAGAGAGAAAAAAAATTGAAAGATTGAAAATGTTTGGCTTCAAATTAGAATTGTTCATTTTTCATTTTAAAGTTTACTTTTCCATCACTTCCCACTTGTTTAACTTATCCCACATCCAATCAATCCTAAAGTAAAAAAAGAAAAAACGAATGTCAATTATTGTTGAATATCAAAAAAAAAAAAAACGAATACCGAATATCGATTATCATCGATTATTGTTGCATGTTTCATAAAAATGAATAAGAAATAAATTTTCATAAAAAAAAAGAAAACGAGAATGAATCACTTCAGTTATAATCATTACCGTAGGAATGAGGAATTTTCGAAATGATTGTTTCATTGATTTTGTTTCCACAAAAACAAAAACAGGCGAAAGATGGAGAGATATGTATGAAGGACAAATATTTGCTTCATTTTTTTCTTTGCAATTATTTCATTTCAAATATTACATGAATAAATGATAATGTAGTTAATAAGAGTTAATTAACATATTTCACTCTCTTTCAAAAAATAAAAAATAAATATAAAAAAATTAACCATAATTGTTTATACAATAAAAGTAATGAAATAAATATGTGAAGAAGTTAATTAATAAACAATTTTTAAATAGAGCAGTGATAAGAATTGGTTAAATTAAAAACTGCTAAAAATATATGTCAAGGAATTATAGATACGATATATTGCGAATCGACTAGAACAATCAGAATTCAACCAATAACAGTATGAATCATTGGGGTTTCACAAGATAGGACGAGAACGATGGAGGAAGAGTGGAACAGTTGACAGGAGTCATTGTGTTAACAACTGGACCAGGTAAGCAATGGATCATGCAAGTTGACAATAGAATCAATCAAATTTACAAATGCAATAAACTTTCTGGAACTTTCGATGTTTTCTTTTTTTTTCTTTACTATTTCTATTCATAGAGGTTTACTTTTATTTTTCCCGACAAAGATTGTAATTGTAGCTGTGATACGATCAACATAAATGAATTGTCAATGAATGGTATGGTTATCAAAATTTGATCATATAATGTTAAGTGATGCTTTAAATAATCGAATAATTTTATCAAAATTATTTGGTTTTATCAAAATTATTGATGTATTATATGTATCATCAGTTAGAAATATGTTTCAATAATGATGAGAAATTTAAACTTGTAAATATCATTTATCTATTTTAAAATATTTCATTCAATTTTCAAACATTTTTCCACATATAATTCATACTATTCAAATATATTTTAACTGATCAGTCTTTTTGATGCTCATATTTGGAATATGATATTAGAATAGAATTTTGACGAATTTTTTTTTCTTTTACTTCCTTTCTCTTTCATATTTCATTTTCCGTTTTTTTCCTACTAAAAAAGTGCAAAATTTTGAAAATATTTGGTTAATTCCAAAATTTGACATTAAACATTTGTAAAATAAGTAAACTTCGTGATTTATTAAAATGAACTTAGGTTAAATAATTGATAGCCAATTAAATTTTCTCTCAGCATCATTTAATAGAACTGGTTAAGCTTTTTTAGGACATCAATTTTTTTTGCTCAGATTGGACTGATCATTTCAATTATAGGAAAAAAAAAGACTGGGAAACATTTCATTTTAATTATAGGAGAAAAAAAAGAATGGGAAATTTTTGTAATTGCTAAACTCATAAACGAAATATTAATCAGGATTGAATTTTGATGGATCTTTCAAATTTTACTGTTGATGAATTTTCCAAACAAATTTTTAAATTGATAATTCTTTTTTTATGTTTGGATACTTTTCATTTTTTTACAGCGCATTGGTAAAATATTTTAGATAAATGTTTTAAAAAAAGAAGAATGTTTAGGAAATAAAAAGGGATAGAAATTTCTTTTTGGAATTCTCCATTAACTTTAATATTAAAGTATAAAAAATTCATACTTTTAAAATTTAAAGTAAATCAAAATAATACGATGATTGGATATGAGTAGTGTAAAATGGTCATTAAGGATTAAACCAGAAATAGCAAAACGATCACCAAAGGTTTAATATAGTGGTCATTAAGGATATTAAATGTATAAGTATCATCAAATTTTTTATTTTTAGACTTGTTTTTTCTTTCCCTAATTACACACCATTGCAAGTTGAAGTATTTTGCGTTAAACGTCATTCTGAATGACAAACGGAAACATATCACAGGTGACATTAATGAATAATTATATCTGATTTTAAAATATGAATTTTATAATAATTATAAGGCATAAAAATGTGATTTCCTTCTTAAATAAGAAGTTATTGGTAGCACTTAATTTCAGTGATACCAGGAATAATTGAGTTAAAGTGCTAAAATATGAATGTCGAATATTTCATTCGTATTAACACTGGGAAAGTCAAAAATAAATTTTTCCCATTCCAATAAAACTTTCGAAATAACTTTAGACATCTAAAAGTTCATTCAAATATTTATGTTTTAAATTAAAATAGATAAATTGGCAAAAAAAAGTACCAATATTATGGTAATATATATATATATGTATATATATATATATATATATTTCTATGATTGAAAATTTGAAAAACAATTATCAATTTTTAATTTCCTTTCAACTGGATGGAATAAATAATTGTGGGACTGAAAAAAAAGACAGAAGAATTTCAAAATGTTAGATTTTTTCAGTGTAATGAATGCATATAAAAATAAATAAAATCTGAATAATATTTTATTTCTTCACTTTTATTTTTTCGTCATCTTTATTTTTATTTGTGTTTTTATTTATTAATTAGCACCAAACAGTTAATGAAATCTTAACAATTAAGTTACTATCCGTTTGGTGGTACCGTGTTAACTATGCAAGCTAGATGTGACAGTAACTAGCGAGAACGTTTTCTCTTTTTTCCCTTTTTTTTTTTCACTTTGATTAATTAAATTAACGATATAGCAGGATATTAAATAGTGTGGAACTGGAAAACGAATATCAAAATGTCGATTTTACCCGATTCAGCTCGTAAGCATGATCCGGAATGTCTAATCACCACTACCAAATTTACTAATATTCTCCTGATATGCTTAATGTTTTCAAATATCTTTATTTGTAAGTGACATTCCATCATTTCATAATTTTAAATCACTTTTAGAACTTCCGATTAAATTACAGATTTTTCAATTCCAATAATATAAATGCATAATAAAAGGAGCGAAGATACAGATAAAAACACTGTTTGACGTGTGATAACATATAACATCCCAAATCATATGAATTATTTATCAAAATGTTGCTGAGATGAAGGAAAAAAAAAGTGTCAAGAATGTAACTCAATATTTGGGTATACTCGGGGAAAGGATTAATTACTGGTATCAAAAAATATAACTGTAAGATGTGATGAAGTAAATAGGCCAAGAACATATCAAGAGAAATTGAGTATACCCAGGAAGAGTTAATTACTGGTATGAATCATTGTAAAAATTAAAATCAAAATATAAAATTTTCGAAAGCAAATTCGAAGAAATAATAGAACTTGTTGTGATTTCGATTACCTGCCATTATTATTATTATTATTGTTATTAATATTACTAAAGAAATTGCCAAGACCGCTAAGAATATTTGAACGGCCATTGTTACGCTTATATTCCGCTGCTTCCGCTTGAAATCGGCTTTCTTGAAGTTTTTCAAATGCGCTACATCTTTTATCCTTGAATATATTTGGTAACTGAAATGATAAAATTATTAAATTATATAAAATAGAAATTACCATGCAAAAAAAAAAGAAAAGAAAAATTGGGTAAATGAAAACAAGAAATGTTACAAAATTAGGAAATGTTTCATTGATTTTGTTAGCTAATTTTTTTTTTTCGCTATACATATCTTTTTCCGTCTCAAATACTTTAAATTAGCGGAAAAAAAAATGCAAAGAAAAAAAATTAAAAGAAGGAAATAAACTGCAATAATGATTTCCAACTGGTGATTTGCGGAGCGTAATAAATCTGCATGTGATCCGCAAAGACGGATGACGGCGGCACGGTGAGTAGAAAACGAGAAGAGGGATGAAGGGCGTTCTTATCAATGTTTGATAAACTAATAAACTGGATGTTTTGGTTAAGGTTTTTTTTTTTCAAACAAACAAAATTTGTTATTTTTGAACCTTATGAATCGTTGGTACAAATTAACAAAAAAAAAAAAACAAAAAAAA